GGGAATCCAGCCCTCCCCCTGTCACGGCAGAGAGCCATGACAGGATCGAGAGGTGAGCGAACCTGGTATGTGTTCGCTCACCTTCCGATCTACTGAGCCGACCTGTGACAGTCTCATTGTCACAGGTCGGCTAGAACTATGAGGTGAGTGGAAATCACTCATCTCATAGTTCTCCTTTTAAATGGCTTCACTTTAAGGAAACCGTTTGGAAGTACCACTCACAAACTATGTGGCTGGGATGTAAGTCGGAGCTTGTCAGTGGTGTGTGTGTGTGTGTGTACCCCTTGGGGGTAAGCAACTGTTCTAAATACATAGATCCAAATTTTGAAAATAATGTACTCAATCTAGGCGATACTTTAGTACTGACCCAAACCAAGGTGTACATGTTAAATCCTTCCTGTTCCAAGGGGTAGAATATTTTTCAAAGTTAAATTGAAATGGTAATGTTTAATTTTTTTTTTTTTTTTATTAAATATGTGTAAAAGAGGTCCGCTTACTGTAAAATAATCCTGCTGCCATCTACGTATAATGGCTTTGCAGTGTTGGACAGCAATTGTACCATGGTGATCCTTTTTCTCTCAGATCAGGCCTACCAGTCAGGGCCTGTCTGAGTGAAAATAATAGACTCTGTGCAATTGCAAAAATGACTTAAACGCAGAAACCAATAGACACTGGGAAACCTCTGATGCTGTGAAATACACCCAATGGTCCTAGTATCTAGTCACCATAATTTCCCCATAATTTTAATACAAGTTAGCAAACTAAACAAGTGAGATTGTAGTCCATCACGGGAGTGAGCGAGCTTGGAGCGGTGGCTACATTACACCACACAGGGACCATGGGGAACAAACGTAGCCACCCTCCAGAAGGAAGGGCAGTACCAGCACCAATTCAGAGACGATCTGAGAATCTACAGTAGAGTGATACCCAAATAAGATGCTTAATAGTTCAGGTATTTGAATACATTTTTAAGGTTTTCCTCCTGAGTTTAGAGTCACTTTAACATAATAGTGATGGGGCAATGCTGATGTGTACCACCGCTTTAAAGAATTATGCCATTATCTGTATTACAGGTATAAATGTACTATATATATAGATATATAGATAGATTATCCATTAGAATGTAGTTGCATGAAGTTGACTAGCTGGTACATCTTAATTAAATGTATTGTGCCTGCCAAAGAAGACATCAGTACATTCATAATTTTGGCCTGATCAGTTTACCCATACAAGTAAGGCCCCTTTCACACAGGTTGAACAGGATAGGAGCTCAGATCCCCCTCCTGATCACAATAGTACAGAGCAAATGTCAAGTAAGCTGTTTTTTGCTTGCTTGCTTTTTTATTTTTACTACTTTTTATATTGTTCTTTGCTCTTTTGCCCTTTGTAAATAAGTATATAATAGGATTTTGTTACTCTACTTTTGAAATAAGTATACAATAAGAGAAGCAGTGCTTCAGACCCACTCTGTTCATGTAAACTTTGGCTTCTGCCTGTACTGCTGGGAAAGGTGACTCCTATCGGGTGAAGTGTACTTGATAAATATGATGCCTGTTTGCGTAGTATTCTGTAATTTTAACAGCTAGTGTTCTATTTCACATTGCTGTAAACCAGTCTGAATGTTAGAGCACACTGCAGGGATTTCCACGCCCTTCCTGTCAAGAGTATTAACTGTATGATATTTCAAGTTGCTTTCCGCAGATCCAGGAATAAATCCCACTCGGTGTGTTCCAACATTTGCAGTGTTGTAATGAGGCGATTGCACAATGTGTTTTTATAACTGATTGCTCTCCCGTCTGCCTGGCTGGAGTGTAGCCAGTTTCCTCTTTTATTTATGGTGCCTCATACTCTGAAATACATGTTTCCCTTGCATGAAGTTGAATTCAGCAAAGGATCATTTATAATGTAAACAAAATGCATGCATGCAGGGCTAGTGTGTGATGTGTGCAGCCATGACTTTGTGTTTTTGTTTTCTTTGGAAGATTCTCAACTTCAGCTGACATATGAAATGGCAGAGAATGGTACTGATTGTGAGCAGCGGCGCGTTGGAGTCTCTAAAGAACAACGCAACGGGAACTTTACCGGTACTTTGTTCAATGAACTTTAAATGATTGCTGACATTTTATCTTTTGTTGTACGTATTCTTTATAGCTCATGCACATGGGTGGCTAAGCCCACACACCCTGTATTCTGGTGTGTTTTCCCAGACGGGAAGCACAGGTTGTGCATACAGTCTCCTATAGGGGTCAATGGCTGCACCTGGGTATGTGCCTTCAGCTAGGTATGCATACGGTTGTATATCATGGGATGCAGGTTTTCAGGAAATACAACAGATTTTATGTTTTAGAGACTCATCCACCCATGTGCACGAGCCCTTAGCCTCTCGGGCTCTTGGAGCAAATGTATTTGCAAAAAACATCCACACATTCTTCAAATTGTTTTGACACACAACCTGTCTATGTATGTTTATACTTAAAGGTTTGTTATTTACTGTTGTTAATGCCATTATTATTACTACTACTCTTACACCTATATATTCTGTGCTCTGCATATTTACTAAATCTGGAAAATGACCAAATGAATTTACAAGAGATAACGTAGTAAAACTAATAGTGGGCCCTGTTTTATGTGAGGAAAGAGCTGCATTGGGCAAGACACAGAAACCAACTACGTTTTTGTTGGGAATAAAACTATCATCTCCTGGTCATTTTACAAACTTCATTGCACAGTTCTACCTGCAGCTGTTTTTGTTGAAACTAACATATGATTCCACTCAGTTTGTGGGAAGGCCTGTCTGCTATGATCATATGGTCAGCCCCAGTGTTGTTGTAAGACAACTACTGCTGGGAAAAGCAGTGAGCCAGTCACACTAGCAGGAAATTACATTTCTTAGGGTTCTAAGTACGTAACCATGCTGCTATGGGAATAAAATATTCCATACTTTTTATTTTTCCTTTGCCATTTCTCAGGTCATAGCTGGCTGCAGATTGATATACTTTAAAGAAGAACTATGGGGCAATGTTTTTCCCATTGTTCTCTTTTGGGTCACGGGAGGACATATACCGTGACCCAAAACTCAGCATGTAGCGTGCTATTGCCTTCTATATGCTGAGAGCACCGCAGCGGGGACGGATCCTGACAATACTGTTGACATCCACCCAGCTATGCCCATCCCCTCCCCTGTCTGTTCCTCCAGTCAGTGCTGAAGGATCGGAGAGAGGGGAAAGGGGGAATCTCTGCAGGGAGATGATTGGGAAGTGAGATCACTTCCCGATCAATAGAGCTGATGTGTGACAGTTTCAATGTCACACGTTGGCTCTAACTATGGACATGAGTATAATTCACTCACCCCATAGTTCTCCTTTAAATTAACTGTCAATTACAGTGTGTGTTTGTTTGTGTATATGTGTGTATACACACAGGAGTGAACAAATTTAATATGGAAGTCAAGAGACAGTTTGTCCAATCTTGGAGCCAGCAGGATTTTTCAACAACTATAGAAAACCCCAAAAGGTAGGAGCCAGCTGTCATTTTCAGGCCCCATTCACACCTGAGCGACAGCGTTTTCATGCGCATAGTTAAGATGCACATTATAGCTGGCAAATTGTGAGACATTACTGAACACCCACAAATGCACGCAAAAATAATCAAAACCACTTGTGTCAACTATTAGTCAGGTGTTTTCATTGAAGTCTATGGGGCCAAACGCGCTGTAATCTGCCAAAAAGTAGCTCATGTACTTTTTCCAGTGACAGGCATTTTTCTGTTTGCAAGACAATGCTCAGGTGTGAACAGGGACCATGGAAATGAATGGGATTCCTTGTCTTGAGCATTTCATTGCTCAAAGCTTTAAGCAACAAAACGCCTAGGTGTGAATTGGGACTCAAGGAGTAGTGGCTACCTGGCTCCTGGGGTCTTTCTATAGATATATATTATACACACGAGGAAAAAGGATTTACCCTGGCAGTGGGTTCCTCTTACCACTGCAAGGGTTACCTGCTTTTTTGCCAATGAGATGATGAAGAAGGTGATCTATTTATAATGTACCTTATTCCTTGATCCCCTGGCAGCCAGTGCTCTCCTCCGCTGCCCAACACTCTGTAATGTGGGCAGACCCTCTGTGTCCTCCCATACAGTGTGGGACTGCTGGTTCTACATTGTATGAAATAATGTCAGTGCTGCAACCAAGGGACTGGTTGCATGAAGAGAAGAAAGCCTGCAGGAGTGAGGCATTAGTAAGTATATCACTTTATTCATCATCTCCTTGGATAAATGTACAGTTTACTCTTTCCATGGGGAAGGGGGCGCACTGCAGTGGTTAATCTCCTTTTTTCCGGAGAGTTCAGCTTTAATGGGAAATATATATATATATATAAAATGTCCAGTCATCAGTTTAGAGTTAGCCATGAATATTGGCCCGAGAATTATTGCTCTCACTCCGGCGCATGTGGCGATACCTGATGGCACATGTGCAATCGTCGTGTTTCTATGTAGGTGCACCCGACTTGTGTTTCTTCTTGTGCACAGTTAAGGGACTTTCACTTTTTTTGGCTACTGCACCCGCCCATTGCCTGCTGTCGGTCAGCAGAGGAGGACCTGAAGGAGAACTTTCTCCTTCAGGTCCCTCCTCTGCTGATAGCAAGCAGTGGGCGGGTGCAGTAGCTAGTTTGTTATTGACTATTGCAATTTAAAATATACAATAGCAGGCTGGCTATTGCTCCTAGCAATGAAGTAAAAAAAAAGTTTAAATAAATAAACTAAAATGAAAAATGCAAAAAAGTTGGTTATTTTATTATATTGGCTTAGAGTTTTACAATTCACATTATTTTAAATGCATAAAACTAATTAAAATGTCTAATATAATGCATAAAAAATTAGATGTATAGATATAGTGGGGAAAAGTCATTTTCCGGTTTAGCCTGACAAATTCTGATGCACGTTTCATTGCCAGCAATGAAAAGCAGGGTACTGCAATGCCCAGTGCAGTGCGATTTCAAAAAATGTGCATACCATTTTATTCTGAAGTAAACTTTGTAACGCTGCATTTATGTATTTTAATATAAATGATGGTATTTTATGTTTTTTTAAATCGGATTAATCGAAAAAATTATCGGCCAACTAATCGATTTATGAAAATAATCGTTAGTTGCAGCCCTTGACTACAGAATGGTTACCTTTTTTATGTGGTAGAAATCGGAGAGTGGGAGCGGTTAACCAGTTTAGCCAAAGACACCGGCCTAAAAACAAGGCTTAATAGTAATCTAGCCCCTAAACTAAAACTCTATCACTAACCCTTGTTCTGCATACTCTTCTCTCTGCACTTAAAGGCCCCACACTAAAACCACCAAGTGCCGAGATTCTGGCCCCAGCATAGACTGTTTAGAAATATCTGTTTCTCTACCTTCTTTTAGTATAACCTTAAAGTGACATTAAATCCTCAGATTTTTTAACATAAAACAATACTGTAATGTGTGCCTTACTGTAATCCATGGTAGTTTCCCTTCTCTTTGCTGCTCTTCCTTTTGAAATCTGTATCTGTTCTCATGCTGGGCAGAACTTCTGTTTTGCAGCAGACTGCCTTGTCTCTGGAATGGATACATGGTGTCTGTGTGTACGTTTGTAACCTGAGCCAGCACTACAGGAAGAGGCCCTGAGCTGCAAAGGGAAGTTCTCCCCAAGCATGAGAAGACATGAGGATTTAAAAGGAAGAGCAGCAAAGAGAAGGGAAACAACCATGGATTACAGTAAGGCACACATTACAGTATTGGTTTATGTTAAATCTGAGGGTTTAATGTCACTTTAAAAGAAAAAAACATACACATTTGTATTTCAAATGGTTTTGTGATGCATATTTGTGATATGAAGACTCTTATCTTTACAGATTCCTCCTTTTTGAATGAGAAGAAGAGAAGGGACCGTGGGGACCGACAGAGTATTGTTCTCTGGAGGAAGCCATTTATTACCTTGCAGTATTTTTTCCTTGAAACCCTGATAAACTTGAGGGAATGGAGCTTAAAGTACGTATTGCTGTGTTTACCAAATATCAAAAGTGGCTTGTTGGCATGACCATTGTTTCACTAAGTATGATCAATAACTTGAATAACAAAATAGTGTAAAGATGTAGCCCTGAGTATGTGTTCATATCCTGTGTTGGAATGGGTAACTGTAGATCAAAATCTAAATATACTATAATCTATTGGAAAAGGTACAAGTTGTTACTTCAGTGTTTATGGCACTCTTCTTATGGTCTCCCTTCCATTTGAATTGTGTCAGGGATCCAGAGATGACTTGCACATGTTTCCATTGACAGACGAAAGGAAGAGAAATCCTTATCTGGGGGAACCCTAAATTGTAGAATTCCGGGCAAATAGCTAAATTATCTGACCACTCTCAAGCTATACATTTATTGAGCCTCTTAAGTTCATGGCTAGCTTCATACCGTATAGTTTTGTCTTACATTATGTAAAGGGAGGACAACAGTAAATCATGAAGGCGGGGGACACCTAGGAACTGTCCGAGAAGTTTTGACTTGCACTTTTATTCAGCAAGGCAGTAAACTATCATATCATCATTGCAATAGACTGGCTTTGTACAGTAAGTCAGTGGCATAAAAGGAAACTAAAACATCTGCATGCTCAAGCCACTAACTAAACTCATGTCAGCTCCTTACCAACAGGGTGCCCCTTAATAGGTTTCCCAACCCAAACAGGAAGCACTTGTACCTTTTCACCTTTTTCTCAGCAGTTAAAAATCCCACCCAAAGCTCTAAAAAGGCTCCATGACACAGACCAGAGCCTATTAAGATCTGAGAAAACAAAAAGGGTTTTCTCCATAACAGATAAAAAGCCTGGAGCTCCTCGCCATGTGAAGGTGAGAAACCTAGAGAACACGTATACATTGTACAAAACCCTTCTAGCCAATGCCTTACAATAATAAAATGGAACTGAGATGATTCCAAAAACCCTTTACCCCTATACTATATTCATATTATTACTGGCCAACAATTTTATGCAGTGCTTTACAAAGTTACATCAGTCCCTGCCCTCAAGGAGCTTACAATCGAAGGTCCCCATCTCGCATACGAGGGCCAATTTTTAACAGGAGCCAATTAACCTACCAGGTATTTTGGAGTATGGGAAGAAACTGAAGTACCCAGAGGAAACCCACACAATCACAAGGAGAACTCCTTGCAGATAGTTACCTGGCCAGGATTCGAACCAGGGACCCCCAGAACTGCAAGGCAGAAGCGCTAACCACTACACCACTGTGCTGCCCATATAAAACTATGCATAAAAAAAATAGGTCTTAGATGCGTACAGGTGAATCATTATACTTCCCTGGAATCTCCACATGTTTTTTATTTTTTTTTAGTATAATGGCAGTTCTATTAAAGTATAGGACAGGCTACATGTTATAATACATGTCTACAGACAGAAACATGCACATTTAAATAGGAGCTTAGGGTGGTTGCTCCCACTAGTTGGAAGCAGTTTCAGGGTTAGAATGGGTTTCAGCCAATAGCCCTGTTTTTATCTGTTTTCCCTGCTCAATTTGTATTATTACAAGACAATATTCCAATTTACTGTGCAATTTTGTCAGCATCGAAAGTGGTTTCTGACTTAATATGCTCATAAAGATCCATCCATAATGTTAAAATGGTTTGTGGGACCTGCAGTTATTGTGTTTTCAGACTGCCACATCTTCCAGATTCTGGGATTTGAGTATCAGAACTAATAAAGACTGGACTTTCTCAGTAGTCCCAGGCAGCTAAAATGGAGCTTGTAAATAGAAAATGGACAAAAATGATTATTTTACATTCATGATTATTAGGGCTGCAGCTAACGATTATTTTCATAATCGATTAGTTAGCCGATTATTAAGTTCGATATATATCAAACATTCACTTTCCATATAGGTGGCAGACATTAGACCTTCTTTAACAGTTTGAAGAGCGGTGCTGCTATATCTCATGATAACTGACACCCAGAAAATGTAGTCACGCTGTTTTAAGATTTGTTTGGCTTTTAAAGGTCACCCGGATTAAATAAGATTTTTAATCGCGCAGGCACTTCAGAGGATCTACCACGCTTTTATGATTTGTAACCAAATACAGGGTAGTGATTTGTAAAGTGAGCACGCTTGTCTTTATTTCTGTGTCAGTTTTGTGCTGGCTATTAAAGTGCAAACAAAATTCTGTGGCCAAACGCCATTTTTAAATAACATTGTAAACTTGTGTTGCAATAAGATGTGTTTGATATCATTCATTTTGATCTATAAAACACCCTGGGCTTAATTGTTGTGATCTGAAATCAAACGTGTTTCTCTGTGGTTGTCCTTTCAATACATGTAATCTGTACTGTGTAGTTTTTGTTATTATTAGATATCTAATAAATAAAATTTCCCCAATAGATTGTGGTACCGTCGTGGGATGGTGGGGTCAACACTGCTCCTGCTTACACTTCTTACAGTAGCGTATTATATTGAAGGAACACATCAACAGGTATGAGTTTGCATTTTATTATCTTAAACAAATGCTCAAACAAGACATGGTTCCTGTTTACAAAACATACTGGCAGACTGGAGTGTTCAAGTATAATATCCTTGTGTTGGCCGGTCCTTGGTAATCGGAGGGAAACCTCTGTTTGATCTTCATAAATGCTGTTGCAGAAATTAATTAAATTTCTAATAAAACCTTGTTTAACCACTTGAAGACGGAGGGTGTTAAACCCCCTTCATGTCCAGGCCAATTTTCAGTATTCAGTGATCCAGCCACAGAGACCTGCCGAAGCAGTCCCGGGCCTGCACAGAGGACAGCGGAGTCTGGAATAGCAAACAGCGGCAGCAGAGGGGGGGCACACACTTCCCCGCACCATACAAGCGATTGGGTGGCTCTATAGCTGCCCAAACACTTGTATGTAACAGTCATAGCTGGCTGTTTAAAATGATCAACCTTTCCCGCTTGCGAGTTACAAACGCCCACTTGCATCCATTTAATTACAATGGCCGGACAGCAAGTGGTTAAAGCCTGTTCTCTTCCTATAAACGTTGGGCCTGCAACATAGATCCTAAGGGCCTGTTCACACCAGATGCAGTGAGTTCTGGCCCGATTCTGGCCAGAACACACTGCCTCGCATTGCGGCCGGCTCACTTTTTTGTGGGGCAGGAGGGGGCGTGGCGGGCCATTGAACTGAATGGCACCGTAGCCGCGCCCTCTGGCCGCAATGCGATCGGCCACACGAGATTGCAAGGCACATTACGCCTGCGGTCCAGTCCAGTGCGATCAAAATGCTGCAAGCTCTATTTTTTGATCAGACTGGACCGCAGGCCTTGCAATCTTGTGTGGCCGATCGCATTGTGGCTGGAGGGTGTGGCTACGGTGCCATTGATTTCAATGGCCCGCCACGCTCCCTCCTGCCCCACAAAAAAGTGAGCCGGCTCGCAGTGCATTCGGGCCGGAATGCACTGCATCTGGTGTGAACGAGGCCAAAATGTTGAGCATCTTGCCTCACTGTTTACAGTTTTCTTAAGAAAAATTTTTTGGTGAATCTGTTTCAGTTTCTTACATGGACATTCTGCCAGTTAAAGCGCTTCCTGTTGCAGACTGACTACACCAAGCTGCTGCCTCAGAATTAACAGCAGGATTTTTGTCCTGCCATGTAAGCTCCTTCATTTGGCCATTGGGCTACCTATCAGGTCTGCGCATACCGTTTGCAAATGCAGAGCTGAGAGGAAGTCCCACCCAACTGTAGCATACAGCCTAAGCTGACAATGTTACTGCGAATTGTGAGGCAGTAGCCTTATGCTGCATTACTGCTAGGATCTCCAAGAAATAAACTATGCAACAGATAAGGGGAAAAAAAAAAAGATTTGTTTAAGAAAACTGTATGGCATGATGCCAAGCATACTGAACAATAGATTTAGGGTTGACTTACATTTTAAGAGATGAATGTTCCTGTATTACTCCCACCTGTCCCACCTGTCTATTAGATTAGATTATCTTTCACTTTTTGGTCACATGTTCAGTTGTATGGCACATTTTTATTCTGTTTTTAAACAAATCTGAGTGCCATGAAGCAGGCCAAAGTTCTGTGATATTTACTGATTGCTTTCTCTTGCAGTATGTACAGTATATGGAGAAGAGGTTTTTATGGTGTGCCTACTGGGTAGGCTTAGGAATTCTGTCCTCTGTGGGACTTGGAACTGGCCTTCATACCTTTCTTCTATATTTGGTAAGTTTTAAGCTATTGTGAAATTCTATTAAAACCAGAAACCTTTTACTTCAGAGGTAATCTGTGGGCATTCAAGTACTTACCAGGCACTAAATGAGCTTTAAAATAAGCCTGCGCTGACCTCCGTAGCTGCAGGCAACTCATCCTCAAATTTTCAATAGTAAGACGGGGTAGGCTTCCAGATTTCTAATCTGTATAGTAAACACAGGGCAGGTGCACTGGGAGAGGAGGCCAGGGAGACTTCAATAACCTCACTGTTTCTCTTGTGCAATTTGAGGAGGAAGTACTCCACAGTGCCTGCAGTCACATAGATCAGTAAGGGCTTGTTTTTAAACACACCTGCTGCTATTAGGAATATGTAATTACTGGACTGCCTATGGCCTACTGACAGGTTCAATTTAAGGCATCTTGACAGGTAAATTATAACAAGGCTTGCTCATGGTGTTTCCTTTAAGCTTGTTCTGGCTGTGTCAAAAAAAGCCCACAGTGGGTTGTTAGCATTTCAGTTTTTGTCTCATAACTGGTAACTGGTGCAATAAACCTGTGTATTCTGGGACTGAATAGTGGATGTGGAATTGAGGCCCAACAGCATGGCTTGTGATGCACCATGTTAGAAGAGTTATGAGTATCTTTTCCGATGTCCAGAATCTTATGTAAAGTGACTTGCTAAGTTTGGCTTTTTAAGGAAGGGACTTTAAAACTGCTATCCTGATCCTGGCCTCCTCATATGTTACTCTTGGATCTGAAAACTCCAATACCTAGTTCTTTCAAATCAGTGATATGCCATGTTGAAATATAAGAATAACAGCCCAGGAGATTACCTTTTTAAAAGCTCCCTTCATTCAGTCCCCCCATTTCCTTCCCTGTTCTATGTCATTTACTGCAGATCTTGATAATATGCAAGCAGTGACAGTTGGTAACTGAATATATTCTGCATGTTGTCCAATTCTGGACGCTTTTAAAATGAAGAAGAGATTTTAATCCTAAAGTTGTATATTTGTGTTTTCAAAGAATAGTTAAACCTTCTGGATTACGGCTAGCACTGCCTGGCAGCTTGGAGCTGTCTCCCAGGGGAGCTATGTCGGTCCTGTTGCATCATGAAGAAGTTTTGCAGAATATACTATTAATAATCCACGTTCAGATATAGAGTTCACTCAGGCCAAGCCTTTCATTTGCCAGACATGTGACAATGTATATATAAATATAATTCCACCAAGCGATGATGACAGTGCTCTTTAAATTGGACCCATACCTAATCATTTCCTTCTCCGCATCACACATCCGTTCCCCTTAACACTGTGTCAGATCTTCTTTATATATTTTTAGGATTTCCCTTATTGCCTTAAGAAGTGAATTAAATAAGGTGTGGGTCACAGAGTGAAACAGCTCTGCCTGGCCTGTATGCAGCTGGACACCACTATTCATAAATCAAAACTTACATGATGTAGTAGTTTTGTAATGCCACCTGTTGGCTGTATGCGTCACAACATTCCTCAATGGTTATTTGCTCTTTTAAAGAAAACATGTACTGAAATCAATACAGGGGCTTCCATTGCTCCTGCTGAAATTCCTGGCTCTCTGATTAAACTCCTTGGCACACAGATCTGGAATAAGAACAGTTAAACAAACATGTTTTTCATTTACTTACCAAAAGAGTTTATCACATCCTGGTCCAGTTTTGGCATAAATTATGTAATGTGCCCAAGCGTTGCATCTTGGGAAGGTTACATCAGCAGAGCATTGCTGGGACATCTAATCTGTAATCTAAGGAGAAAGGCATTTTCCTCCCCTGAGATGATGTCCTAGTCATAATGTGCCAGAGTTCCAGGAAGTAAAGGGAGATCACGTAATGACCACTGTCAGAAGACTGGGAAACAAAAGAGAAAAAGGTATGCAAAGAATACAAAGCCTGCAATTATCTAGGAGTATGTGTTTCTAGATTTGTCATTACTAAATATTTCTAAAGGTTTATTTGTTATTTTTAACCACTTGCTGACCGGTGTGTTTACACCCCCCCTTCCTGTCCAGGCCATTTTTCAGTATTCAGCGCTGCGGTACTTTGACTGACATTTATTCCGTCATGCAACACTGTACTGAAATAAATTTTATGCAATTTTTTGGGGACAGATAGAGCTTTCTTTTCGTGGTATTTATTCACCACTACGGGTTTTATTTTTTACTATATAATGAGAAAAGTACCGAAAATTTTGGGGAAAAAACAACAGTTTTCCCTACGTTATGTTATAAAACAGTTATTATTACCCAAATTTTTGGCAAAATATAAAAGACGGGGTCACGCCGGGTAAATAGACACAAAACATGTCAAGCTTTAAAATTGCGTGCGTCCGCGAACTCGCAAAAACTTACATACCCCAAATTGGCAATAGGCGACGCTTTAAAAGCTTTTACCGCTCATCAGGTTAGTGTTATCAGTGATTGATGGCCCCAGAATTTTTGCTCTCACTGCGACGTTCGCGGCAATACGTAACATGTGTGGCGTAATGGATGCAATCGTCGTTTACGCACTTAGGCGCACTCGACGCATGTTTGCATGTGCGGGGCGGGGGACTTAAAAAAATGTTTAAATTTTTTTAAAGCATGTTTATTTTGAGGATTTTTGTAAATTGCAGTAAACGACAGTATAAAAGAACATAGAAGACATGGAGCATATACATCTAGTGCAAAAAGGACGTGGACGCCACCGTCTCTCCCAAGGCACTTCAGCACTATAATATTGAGGCACCAAATCATCACACAACCTTCGTAATATGCAATAATTAACTTGTCAATAAGCTAGGGAGGACACTGGCCCATTGATAATAATCATCACAGCTCCAGTCTGTTTCCACATGGTGGAAACTTCCATCTCCCATCAGGGAGGGAAGGAGAGTGATACTGAATGCAGGAAGTGATGTAATACACATCACTGCGTGCATTCAGAAGAGGAGGAGGTGATCAAACAAAGCTTGTGTACTGAGCTCCGTTTGATCTCTGGCCACAGAGCTGCTGTGCTGGTCCCGGGCTCACACCGGGCACAGCGGAGCTTGGGATCGCCGGCTGCGGCGGAGGGGGGGCCACACACCCGCACGCATATTACAAGCGATCGGGCGTCTCTACAGACGCCCGAACGCTTGTATGTAAACAGCCATCGCCGGCTGTTTACATTGCGGCCGGCACGAGCGGGGCGGGATTAAAAACGCCCACCCGCATTCAAGAAGCTGCTGTACGGCCGTTTTAATTACAACAGCCGGACAGCAGGTGGTTAAAGATATGGGTAAAGGTCCGCTTTAAGATAATATATCCCTTGGATTGACATGAAATCCAGGTTACTAGTATATTCAGAAGGAGAATTCAGCAATGTCAATCCCTACACTTTCACTACAAGGCAATGTCACACTTTGGTGATCCTTTGGCTGGTGGCAAATCACCAGCAATAGGTTCAAAAAAACCACTAATTTGCTCCTACGTTATTGCTCACTTACTATCTAAACCACTAAAGCTTCATCTCTGCTCCTTCTTTGGTGATCAAGATTATGCAGCATTTTGGCAAGTGAGGGAGTAATGCCATAGGGGAGCAGGTAAGGGCTTTTAATGATCCTATTGGTTGCTGATTGATGCAAATCATTCTCTGGCTTTAAATAAAATCATAATTGTTTGAGTTTTGCCATCTAATACAAATGAGAAGCGCTGTTAGTCATGTCATGTTTTTGCTTCACCCTGTGGGGAAAGGGGGATTGGGGAGAGCCAACTTTACAACACTCACAGGGACCATGGCGAACAATAGTAGCCACCGTCCAGCAGGAAGGACATTGTCCGCACCAATTCAGAGATGATTTGGGAATCTATGGCTGAGTGATGCACAAATAAGATACATTTTTGTTAATAGGGTATTTGGATGCATTTTTATGATTTCATTCATGAGTTTAGTGCCACTTAAAGGACAGGTTCAACTTTTATAACCGATTCTGCCTATAACATGCTTTTTTGGTTTTCAGTTTCTGCTTTTTTCACATTGTGCAACTGGTCCATAGATGCGGCCGTTGTATTTGTTTTCTTTTTATCAGTGTTTGGTGATTTTGATGTTCTGTCATTCTTTGTCTTAGTGGCTCAGTGGTTAGCACCCATGCCGTGTACTCCGGTTTCCCCCCACACTCCAAAGACATACTGGAAGGTTAATTGGCTCCTGTCTAATTTGGCTCTAGTATGAGTAATTATGCATGTGTGAAATGGATCTTAGATTGTGAGCGTCTTGAGGGCAGACACTAATATGAATGTGCAGTATGTAAAGTGCTGCATAACTTGTCAGTGCTATAGAAATACCTGTAAGAAAATAAATAGAAAAAAAAGGGTGGGTTGTAAAATGTACAGTATTTTAAATTCTAGACCAGGCCTCAAAATTTCCACTCGCCCCCTTGCAATTGGCGAGTGAAAATTGCGGGGGGGGGCGGCGAGTGGAATGTCAGCAATGGTGCCTCGCCGGCGGGACTAGGAATGGAACACTACCGCCACTATAACCTGTGAAGTGGAACAGCACTGTGTAGCACTGCCACCCAGTGTGAGAGTTTGGTACTGCTGCAATTACATGATCCCTTATGACAGTGGTTCTCAGCCTGTGTAACCTCAGCACCCACATTTGTCCTTGGTCATTTGGTTGTGACCCAAGTCGCACTGCAATGAAATGCACGGCATTGCATTACCGGACGTTTGGGTGCAGACATTCGGACTGTGGGCGGGAGATGCGTTTTTGGGGTGTCATACAAACTAGGGCTGCAGCTAACGATTATTTTCATAATCTATTAGTTAGCCGATTTATTAAGTTCAATTAATCGGATAAAAAAAAAATGGCTCCAGTGATGGACTGCCAGTTTGTATTGAGATTGTAGTCCATCAGGGGAGCAAGCCTGCTTTTCCTTCATTGTGCCGATCATGAATGGGCGGGCTGCGGCGGGGAGATGCGGCTTGCAGGGAGGAGAAGCGGCGAGTCCGTATGGCGGGGAGGA